CTTGATCTGCCATTTTTTAGCCAGTAAGAGTTTACACATTATTCTATCTCCATTAATTAGGAGCTTTACAAGAAACCAAACCTTCTAGACTCCTCACATCACCAATATGAGTGACCAACAACCCCAGACCTATTAAATCAAGTGAGGCCTAACATAATCATGTCCACTTCACAGTCTTATGCTGGAACCTGTCATGCTCAAGAACTATTTCTTGACCTGTGGGATGTTTCCTTTATTTGATTACAGAAAGGAGCCTCACCAAAGTTGGGTTTTAAAAAGGACCTTTGTAATTTCCAGCAGATGCTCATGCAGCATGGACACTACTTCACTAATTGTGCTGTCTTTTCTTTCCATTTCTTGCTATGAATGAGATGATCATAACAGTCTGTTCCTCACTGATGTGAGTGGAAAGTGGCGATGAAGTCATGATTGTTGATTGATGAATTAATTAAATTTCAATCAGAACAGAGTAAGAATGCACCCTGACCTATGCTACTCTGCACAGCCTAGAAGGGCAAGTAGGGTGAAACCCTTTGCCACCCCAAGGATGCATGCAGTTTTCCCCTCTGAAAATATGGCTGGCTTACTGTAATTACAGTAATGTAACATTTGCAGTTTCAAATTAGAAAGAGAGATTTGTGATTTTTCTATGCTGCATTTATAAATAGATTGTGGAAATTACCCTCTTCGTCATCTACAACTTGCCAGTTGTGAAACTTGGCAGTTGCCATTGATTAATTCATACATGAATTAATCTTACATGAGCAAGTCTGGTATGTCTGGCAAGTATGGTAAATAGATTAAATTTTACCCTGCTGTCTTTTAAAAAATAGAATTTTCAAAAGCATGATGTAACATTTAATAGCATGACATTATTGGCCTATTGATAAAGGTGGTTAAAATCCTATCAGGTTAACCTTGGATCATAAGAACAGACAGAGGCTACGATGGGTTAAACCTAGTAAAAGTGCCCTGGTTCAAGCCTCTCTTTCAGCTATTGGACTTGTCAACCATATGATTCAGAGAGATCTGTGTGGAGACTTGCAGAATTTGCTTAGCAAGCCGTATTCATTTGAATTGTCTCGACCCCACTCCCTTCGAGGGTCGTGTCAAATGTGAGTTGCTTTATTTCCTGCCAGGATAGTGATGAATATATCGATTCTAATTCGAGCTGTCACTACATATAATCGGTGGCATCGTTGGTTTTTTTCGGGCATTGCAAGGCCTCCGCGGACCGAGAAGGGAAGTGCCAAAGTAAAGTTTGCATTGCGGATGTACGCTTGTGATTATGGGACTCCACTGAGCGTGGAAAACGAGCGAAAATGGAAGGGAAAAGGCACAATTATGGAGGTAGTTACTTCACCGCTGGTGCTTCCAAATAGCGCTCGCTTTCTCGATTTTTCCTTTTCCCTGATGTCTGAAACAGATAATAATAAATCCCTCATCCCTTAGTCATGGGTCTCTATTCCCATGCTTGGGCATGCATTCGCGCGGCTGGTAAATTAAAAAAAGGGAATCCCAGCTGTGAAAATGGAACCTCCTGCTTGCGTGGAAACGAACCACGGACACGACTCTTCGGTGGTGGACAATGATAAGTTACGATCGTTCCGCCAAAATCGGATTTCATTTCATGGCGATATACTAAGAAAAACCGAAGTGCCATGTTTCGGTCTGAAAACAAGATCATTATGGTTGCATTTAATCCACAAATAATCTTGACTGTGAGGCATAAGCGTAGCGTGGATTTAAAAAGTGGGGGGCACAGGACAAAGTGGGGGGCGGGGAAACTTTGATACTGTCAGTGCCGTTACAAGGGGTGTGCGAGCGGGCTCCCCCCGCACAGGGCGTCGATTGGCTGCCAAATTACTAAAAAATTACTAGTAAAAATTTCCGAATTCATTGTAATTACTTGAAACGAAACGATACAAATTCTACGTTAATTTTTCCATTCAGATGAGAAGGGCGCCCCCCAAATCTGAATTTCCATTATGAATTGAATTTTCGCCTCCCTCCCACCTTCATGATGTATTTTCTACAATAAACGCCCATTAAAAGTAAAAAAAATTGAACACAAATCACCCTTTAGTTGAAGCTAAAAGGGAAGTCATCCCAAAAAACGTGTTGCTCGTAATCGAGGAAAATGGACATGTTTACTTTTACTATAACCAAAAGTTTTGGTTGAGAAATTTTCGTCAGTGAATATCTGTTAATCGACGGTAATACTTCCATCAATAGTGTCATAGATGAGATTTCATGTTCAAATACATTGTTCTCCGTAATATAATGCTTCGTTAAAAGTACTGTATATGACCAAACATAAGTCCAAGATTATTATATGCTCCAGACGACCGATAAGAAGAATTAGTCAGTAAGTTGAAGTCAGAGGTCACAGACGTTTTGAATTTTTTTTCGCGAAAGGAAGCAAATTTATTTTTCTTAAAGTTTCATATTAATCTCTTCATTTTTCTACGTTTGCTCTTGTAAACTACGTCGGTGATTGGATGTTCTTACCGTTGTATACATCTAATTAGAAATAGAAATTTTTTGAAAATGTAAGAGATCACTTTATTCTAGGGCTGTCAATTGATTAGTTTCATCAACCAAGTAATCGATTAAATTTATAATCGCAATAATAAAGATTAATCGAAATTAATCGAATTTGAACCGACCCTCCCAATCTCCCTCTGGATACCTCTTTCTTCTCTTAAAATTTGACTGTATAGTGCATAGCCTTGTAAAACAACCGAAAAGGAATGCTTTGTCGAGATTAAATGAAATTATGGCACATAAAAGGTTGTCGTTTTCGCACTGCTCACTCTTCAGCAAAAATGACCTATTTTTGGAAAAAGGAAACTCAAAAACAAGGCCGTCGCTTTCAGGATATTCTCAAAATACCCAGTATAATTCATTAGGAAATGGAAACGAAAGTCGAAATAAAGAAACTGCAAGGAAACACGCGGAAGGAAGAGGGGATTTGGGTAAGGATCATATGTGGCAAGAGCGGCAGGAAAGAAGATAATGGGGTGACTGGGGAATGAAAGGCAGAGCCGTACCGATGGGGCTGCCAGCGGTGCGCCCGCACAGGGCGCCGATTGTCTGCCAAATCACTGCAAAATATGAATAAAACCTATTTAAAAAACTTTAAATTTTCCTGAATTAAACAAAATTAAACATGGGAATTATTACCTTATGTATTGTTGGTATTGGGGAAGCTGAAAAGGTATAGAGGGGGAGGGGGAGGCGCTGGATTGATATCTCGCACAGGGCGCCAAATATCCTCGATACGGCGCTGGATACTGTTATGCATTTCTGGGTCTTTTTATTTTATTTCTTTTCTTGAAAGTGCTGCTGCGAGGACTAGCGTTATTTGGGAAGGGATCGACTTCGAGGAGGGTACGCGCATGAGGCCATCTCATCACGGGTAAAGGAGATTTCTCAAGTTCGGATGTAACGATTCTGGTAGTTTTCATTTTTACAAGGGACTTGCGCTGGAAAGGACAGAACCTGGTTTGCCCTAGGCACAAAATAGCAAATCGAATAGTTCACGATAATTTTGCTGGATGTCTCATTCATATCCAAGTGCTTTCCTGTGTGCGCAAATGGACAACTGAGGATAGCATCAGGTGTGCGCAATTGGGAGCATGGGGGAGCACGGATTGCGCAAATGGGCACTTCACATCAACCCAAGGAATAAGGAGCAAGGAACGGCTTTTCCTTTTACTTTAACTCCTCTATCCGTCTCGGCTGGTTTCCGCCGAGATCCCCCCCCCCCTTACGATACCTCGGCGCACCACGGAATAGACTAGTCGAGCATTCTCAAGGCCTAATTTTCGTTCCAGGAAAATTCCGCTCTTCCTTCTCTCCCTTATCCATAAATTAATCTATACTCACCAAGTATTGATTATGTGCAATTTATCGTTGCAATGCTACATCGATGGTTCAGGCTGATGGGTAGAGACTGGCGGAGGAGGGGGGTTTGAAAAATGTGTGCTATCCCCCACAACTCTGGTTCGTCTGCCACCCCGGGGTGGGAGGATCCGACCCCCATCTACGACGAGAGTCGAACGAGAACCGAATTTTGATTGCATTTCATCCTCACTAATTGTGAACTTCACTTCCTGCCTCACTTCATCCCACTTGCAAATAGAAACGCAGTCAGACTTTTTTTATTGTGGGGGAAGTTGGTGCTTGTTATCGTGTGGGTTTTTATATGCTCATATATGCAGTGTGCTTCACATTGATGTAACCTCCCCTCCCCCTCTGTGTGTCTGTTTTGATTTCGATCGAGCATTATTTTGATCATCCTATTGGATCTGAGCGAGAGCAGAACGACTCTCCCTCTTAATGGTTTTTTTTTTTTCATGAGAGAAAGTATTTCTTTCTTTGGGCACGGTTGGGAGAACCAGAGAGAGGGAGGGAAAATGGGGTCAGGTCAACGGAGAGCGTATCTGTCCAATACTTTCTTCTTCGTGAGTAGTTATTACGAGTTCGCTGTTGGGCTAAAAAGGAAAAAAGATTGTTCCACAACATAGAGGAGACTTTCGTGAAAAGTGGTTTCCCCCTCTTCCCATGGCCAGCAGTTGGCACATGTACGAGGAAGGGACGAAACACTTGTTATTGCCTTACCGACTCCTGGGGTGGAGGGGGGGGGGGGGGTGTATGTCCCGTTACAAGGATCCGCCACGTTGCAGCACTCACTGGTCCATGTGACCAGAGAGGCTGAGGGAGAATGGAGGTCGCCTCGCATTTCTCTCTCTTCCCTTCCACGTGTGCAGTGCTTCTATCATGTCATTACGTCTCTCCATCACGTTTCTCCCTTTTCATCGTATTGTAGATTTCGAACGAGGAGAAGGGAACATTATTGAGATATTGAATTGGAATTTTCGACCGGCCGAGGGAATGTCTGGATACCGTGCACCTTCTTGTGCCCCCGTCTCCAAGTCCAAGTGCTTCTGTTCCCGAAGTTTAAGGGTTCATTCCGCAGGTTTTCATCGATTGTACTGGCCTCCTTGCCCGTTCCATTCGTTTATTTGCAATAGCCTCAGCACTTCTTTGTTTGCTCCTGTCTCGTGTTCCTCTCGTGCCGGACCGCCGGCCACCCACTTTACCGCTATTGGAAACCAGACTTCGAATGTGTCATATTTTTCATACATTCGATTTAAAGTTTTCCCCAATAATTTTATGCCCTTTCTCCAGTTTCGTAAGGATTCAAATTCCGAGGGGGAGAATGAGAAATCTAGTTGTAATTGTGGAGCGAGGCAAACTCGATACGCAGAAAGGTTAGTGAGAAAAAAAATTAAAGCCGCGCCAGAACCAAGGTCATGCTCAATCGCCAGTTTTTACCTTGACGTATCCGCTTGCCAGCATGCTCTTCACGTCGATCGCGGGATTCAGGGTGACTTTGACATTGCAAGAAAATCCTCTATCAGCTCTCGTAAATATCTCTCTCTCGATAACACAATTGCCCTTCACCGAGTCGAGTTTCGTGTTCGCCTTCGCTCCCTCACCCTCCTCCCTCCCTTTAGATCGCCTGTGTCTTTTGGGTAGGTAGAATTGTGCATCGATCGGTAGCGAGTGATTGAGAAAATGAGTTTGGAATACCAGAAGCCGCTGTGTTTACTGACTCCTTTCCCATGGGGTGCCGTCACACCATGTCGGGATGACATCCGACAACTCCGTGCCTTGGTGAGTATCGCCTTTACCATTGAATATGCATCCTTTCACCTCGGTCCTCATCCGAAGACTTTTTTTTGTCGTTCTCGAGCAGCATTATGCGTCGTTAGTCTAGGAGAAAATAAGGGGAATTTTCATTCTGTCATTCATTGCTAATAATCGCAAACCTGCCTCCAATCAGTCACTCGACATTTGTTTTGCCTGAGATTCGATTCCAGGATCATTAAGTAGTTATAGAAGTGTTACCAGATTGCATCATGCCCGCGGAGAATTCCTCCATCTCTTTCTCGTTCATCCGAGTGGTTCTTCCTTGAAGCAATAGCATCAAGGACGCGTTCATGTTTGGCATTTGCATGAGCAGCGGCGTAGCGTCAGGGGGGGGGGGGGGGGCACGTCCCCCCCCCCCCTTTTCTAGAAAAGAAGCCAAAAAAGAAGGAAAAGACTCAGAAATGCATAGCAGTGTCCCAGAGTTCCCGTGCCCCCCCCCCCCAATTTGTCCTGCGCCCCTCTCCCCTCCCTCCACTTTTCCATCCGCGCTACGCTTATGTGCATGAGGTTTACATATTCATAGCCAATTGGACTTTATTTTTTTCTAATTCCTCGCCATATCTTGACTGAAAACATCCTAGGATCGTATGATCTTGCTTCTGTTCAAATTAGATGAAAAGTCAGTATAGGATGAAAGTACTTCTTCAAATTAAAGTTTTCTCTTCAATGCATTATAATGATCATGCTCAAATCATAATCAAGATTAGTCACATCAGTCCAGTATGTGTACTCATGTAGGCATGCCCTCCCATGGTTTTAAAAACTTGGGCTTGAAAATTTATCGAAATGATTCCATTTGTCTTCTTTCCTTATAGTTAGCATCTTTTCTCATTTTCTACCCCTGAAAAATCTGGAATAAATGTTGATGTATTTATTTGTTTACAGTAAGTTTTGAATTTAATTACTCTAGCTATATGATGATCCCCTGGAGGGGGGTTCAAGCTTCAAACCTTCACCGTTACTGTGTTTATGTTCCAGTAAATGCATGGGCAGTAATGCCAACTTCAAAAACAAGAAAGTTACAAAAATTTTACTATGGATTCTTGAGCCAAAGCTGTTTTTCTCAACCTAAGATGCAGAGTGAATACTGACTTGAGGATCATGAAACCAGGAGCAACAATTACTGCATAGAGAAGATGTTTATGTTTCATTGTTTCATTTAGAAGGAAGTACTGAGACTTCCTTACAGGAGCACAAAGAACCAGATGGTAGTCCATGAAAGCAACACCTCTATTTGTCCATCGCTAAAACTCTAGCAGTTTCTGAAGAAGCAGAAAAAAGTTGATCTTGCAAGTATTGATGCTTTGATACCTGTATGTTGATGTTGCAGTCACTGCATCGTGCAACAAACGTGACCTACCAGAGCCACCATGTGTCACGGTCCAAGAGAGGACAGGTCATGGGTCAAAGGGGAGGATTCCGAGGATGCACCATCTGGTTCACAGGTCTTTATCCCTCTCTCAGATCTAGATTTTTCATTTATTCAAAAAATTCTATTGAAATCATATACCTGTTAGAAGAAACTAGTGGATGCATATCCATGAGAGGAAGTGATTAAGCTAGTAGATTTGCATCGAGTCTGATTTCCTTACAACTTCATTGATGGCTTGTCAATAGGGCTGAGTGGTGCTGGGAAGACAACAATATCATTTGCCCTGGAAGAGCTCTTGGTATCAAAGGGACTCCCTGCTTATGGCCTGGATGGAGACAATGTCCGTCATGGCTTGAACAAGAACCTGGGATTCTCCCCTGAAGATCGAGAAGAGAACATACGACGTGTAGCTGAAGTAGCCAAGCTCTTTGCTGATTCTGGTGTCATTGCCCTCTGTTCTTTTGTCTCCCCCTATGCCAAGGTACTCCTATCATTGCATAACATCATATATTGCTATTTCATTATGTCATCAGTAGTTTGAATTTCTCAGCCCAATAGATCCTCATCACTAGTGCACTAGATCTGTATATGTTGTCTATAAAATTATGCCATTCAGCATCTCTAAGAAACAGGATGAAACCATTTTTGGCCCAGAATGATTCTCAGAAGGAATTTTCCTATGATATTTTATTTGGACTTTATGACTGTTGGTCACTTATAGGAATAGCAGTGCCTATACTTTGGCCTGAGCCCTTTAATAAGGGTCCTTTCCTCCCTACTGCCTAAAAACTGGCATGTCTCTTGAACTTTTCCTTAGCTACATTTGCCAGTTAGACTGTAAGACCAATAAATATTATATCTCCAAGATCTATGAGGCAAAATTCAAGACAGTGATTTTGCTTTTGTTTTTTTTTTTCTTGTACATTTGGAGCCTTAAGGAAGAAGCAACAAAATTTAATAAAACCCCCAAACATTAGAATCGGACTTAAGGTAATGCCCAAACTTTGATATGATGTGCTCTAAATCAATGAAAGAAAGAAGAGGAGGGAGGAGTCTGGGATACTAGAGGATGAGCATAGACAGGTATAGATGCTTTCTCTGCACTGCACTAGACTCTCCCATCACTAGCATCACCAATGATTAACAGATGAAGTTGTGCAACCCTCCTCATGCATGCCAATGTGATTCACTTGAAAGTCCATTCATGTCCATTCTTATCACAAAACTTGAACTTTTGAAAATATCCTTTCTGTGTAATTCCAGCCCAGCCCCTTGTATTCCCCTCCCCATGCATTTGACTGCATACGTGGGCTATATTTAAAAAGTATAACTATTCACTGATGAAATGGAAGTTAAAAAATTGGTACATTTTTTCTTCTGTAAATTTTCATTGCTGATAAACTTCTTGAAATTAGGGCTACAGCTACTTTTCAGATGTGTAAATATGGAGAGCCTTCCCCTTCATGACAAAAGTGAATCATGCTCATGTCATTGAGACTCTCAAGGAAAAGGGAATTTGGGGAGCCATAGAAAAATTCAATAAAAGTGCACCATTCATGATGAATGGGGAGAGATGGAAAGAGAGGAAGGACAAATTCTCAGACTCCTCCCCTTCCCTCAACAAGACAGCACTGAAATAAGACATTGTCATCAATTCACTTCCGTTTTGATGGATATCAAATGAAGGTTGGAATGGAGTGGAAACCATGGAAATGATTATCTATTTCCTGCATTCGTAAGCTCTCTATCCATGAGCCTTCAGGTTCAAGCCCATCTGCAGCATTAGATTGTGAAGTATTTTGAAGCCACCACCACTTAATTCCCAAAAATTATTTATTACTGATCAATTTATGGGTTTTGCATCAATTAGAGCAGTGGTTCTTAACCTGGGATCCATGGACCCCCAGGAGGTCCACAGGGTAGGTCCAGGGGGACCATGGAGGGTACATGGAAAATTAAATATATAATCGAAGGTAGCTCCCAAAAAACATCATTTATAATCACAATTCCAGGTGTTCCAAAGTGTCTGATAATTGGGGGTGGGGGTCCATAGGTGTGAAAAGGTTAAGAACCCCTGAAGTAGAGGGAGAGTATGTGAAAGGATCACTGTAATATCCTAAAACCCTGTTGGTAAGTCTAGCAATCCAGGTAATGGCTAATTTCCCCGAACAATTTCTTATTTTGCCAAAGCTCTATGCTGTGATTGAGCTTTTACCTGGTGTCATCCTTTATGCAAAACAGGAAAAATATGGATAATGTGTCCCATGGGAATATGTGTTAATTACTATACAGGTGCTGCCAGAACCAGTACAAGTGAAAATTCCCTAATAGGGATGGAACATGAAAGGAGTAAGAGATTAATATTGAAATGTAGAAAATCTGAAATACCATGTCAGTGATTGTGCTAAGAGTTTAAAGAGTATATTTATAGATTGGTTGATTAATTTCAAATGCAAGAGATCCATTGCCCAAACTGCATTTATCATGTGCCATGAATATTCCTACCTAAAAGCAAAATATTTGAATAGCAACAGTGGCAGCTCATGATATTTAGCACTAGTGGTTCATCTATGGAGAGGGGCTAGGCAGGGGCTATCGTCTAGGCCATAGATGAACCACTAGTGTTAAATATGAGCTGCCACTGAAAAGCAGTTAAACTGATTCACACTTGCAAACTATTTAGAGTAACATCCTGAAGAAAAGAGTGAAGTGAGTCATGGCTGCTTAGATTTCTGCCCCAAAGAAGAAATATTGGATATGAATTCAAGCCCAAGACTTATCAAATATTAGCAATAGAGCTATGAAAGTATGTGGATAGAGTGAATAGAAATGAAGATCTGAAGATCTGATCTGAAGATGTTGTGTGCATGACTTTATTTATTGAAGTCCAAAATTTTCAGAGGAAAATTTCTCAGAAATTCAAATCTTACACTCCAGGCATTCCTTGCTCAACAGGTGTTCTATGCATTTCTCATTGAATCCTTCAGCTCAGTGGTGCAATATATATCTTGCTTAATCCATTTTGAATTATAGAACAAACAGACTAAGGACTCTGGTAGAAGTATATATTATAATTTTGTCATATCTTTTCATTATATGCATCATTCAACCTGGACTTTAATTTTAGAATGTTTCCAAACTTGTTAGGATCGAGAGAAGGCACGGAAAGTGCAGGAGGATATTGGACTTCCATTCTTTGAGTGCTTCATTGACACCCCACTTGAGATTTGTGAACAACGGGACACCAAGGGTCTCTACAAGAAGGCCAGGGCTGGAGAGATCAAAGGTAGAGATTAACCCTTCCATTCTCTGTTTCACTAACACAGAACATAGAGTTTTTGTAGTATATTTGCCAAATTCATTGGTAACAATCTGGGTAAGGATTTCACAGGGTTCTTGTGCCAACCAGTCACTATAGAGGGAAGCAGTAGATGTGCTTCTGCTCTCACACCTTCCATTGTGAGCTCCTGAGGTCCAGTAGTTGACAAAATCTTCTCATATAGCACTCCTTTGCATGGTGCCCACATAATTGCCAATCAGTAAACCATGTTTCTAGAGGCCATTTCTTGCATGGAAGTGCAAAACGAGAGATTATAAAATATTTATATCATATCAGGAGCTAGCATGGCAGTAAGACTTCTCCATCAATTTCACTTGGAAAAAAGAGCAACACAGGTTGATAGTCGTTGATATATTTTTTTCCCTACCTGATATAATCAACCTAATGGATATCTTAGCTAGAATGAATTCGCATGCAACCTGTGCCTTTCAATTTTTGCCATCAAATCAGTTAATTTCATTGCCCCAAAAAATGCAAATGCAAATGCTGTATCCTGCAAATTACACGGTGAGAATTCAAGTATGGTTTTCCATGTTTATGTTCAGAGTAACATGAAATTCATGCACTAACATTGATTTTGAACAAAGCCTGCTAAGCTAGTATGACTATGATTTTTCTGTGTTTCGTATCAGTGTAACACCGGAATAAGTATAAAGCAACCTTTCAATCCCAGGTTGGTGTTTGTGTGAAAAATCACTGGTTGATCTTGGGATAAATCACTAACCTCTTGGGTTTAGTATTTGCATGAGTTTAAAATTGTGTTTATCCAAAGCTGAAATTTTCCAGCCCATGGTAATGGATAACAACACTTGGCCCAACAAAGAGGTGGTTTTTGAGTTGAGATCAGAAAGTTGATTCCACTTGGACCTCAATTCATACATCTTAGTTGGCATTAGGTCTGGTACAGCAGAAGTGATATCAGTTATAAGGCTGATGTAGCCCTAATCACATCTGTCATTCAAACTGTATTGACTGAAATATGAAACCCTCCAGTATAGTCCTAGTTGGTGCATACTCATATGGTATGCTTTAAAAATTTTTTTTGTATGTAGCTGTAGCTAAGAGATGCCTATTCAGCCATCTGGGGGTTGTTGACATTTAGCCAAGAGAATCTTGGACATTATTAAAAAAAATTTTTTTTTCAAAGATTTTACTATCATTTGCCATAAGGAATAAGTTGTAAGTTGCAACTTTCTGATTCCAAGCTGGTTGACTATCAAGAGACCCTGAAAACTTGTCCACTTTATAAAAGCAGCTGTTAACCCTGAAGCTATTGTTGAGAAATCTCTCAACACTAACACTAGGCAGTCACACCAATACATAATCCTAATGCCATATCTGAACTCACTTGGTGTATAAACCTTGTCATGAAGCTGCATACTTAGGCCTAGCTTTTTTTTCTTTACTTTGCCTTTTTATTTTTTATCTCTCATTCCCTTTGCTTTTTCCTATCTCCTTAGTATTCATTCTTCTAACATCTTGCCCTCTTCATCTTTTGGTTTTCACATAGAGTACTGAACAAATTATTAGAAATTTCAAGGAAATTCATTTATTCATACTTTGCAAACCATAATAATATCATTTACATATAGTAAGTATTAGAAAACTGTAGATTACACCTC